CAATTCCTGACAAACTTGCTCTTTGAATAAATACAAATAAATAAATAAATAATTAAAATTAAATAAAATACATACATAGATAAATATATAAGTAAACGTATTTATTCATTTTACAAAAATGGTTAATTTCAATTCCAAATTACCTAACATTTGCATTATTAAACAAAGGCTAACGAGTTACTGAATGAATGGATTATAATTCAAAATCATTTGACATTATCGTGATTAGTAATAGTCTAAGTAAGTAATAATATTATTACTAGCACCAAATCTATGAAATGCAATAATGATCTATTAATAATGCTCATTATGAAGTTTGAACTGATTCCATTCTATGAATGCCCAATGCCCATTTTTAAGACTATGCTTATTCTATCTCTCTACATGGTACCATCTATTTTAACATAATTGTACAAATACTTGAAATAATTATTTCTGTATAATTTCTTAGTTTCCACTTTATAATAAAAAAGAAATGGATATATGATCAGTAAGTTATTGCAAATGATCAGTGATTTTGATAAATAAATAGCCTAACTAATCTTAACTTCTATACTCGTTCCTATACGAATAGTAATTATTATTAGCATAACTCACCATAATTCAAGCTATCAAGAAAAAAATTTGTTAAAACTACAGACAACTATTAGCAAAGTAACGAGATGGGGAGATATTACACACATAGCTAGCTATCCACTATCCACAATGTTACACATCCTGTTAATAGCCCAAAAATAAGCTAAGCAAATCCAATCACAGCAAACTTTTACAATTATCAATCACACTACTTGAGCAGCCATACATCTTATTATTTTATCCTGATAAAAACTATTCATAACTATCAATTGTGTCTGTCTACCAATATTAGTTATGTTACTTATGCAAATATTATATTAGTCATAATTATTTTCAGACTTTGACAGATGCTTACACATTCTCAATATAATAATCATCATTATTCAAGAACAATGAGTATCTTCTAGCAGCAATTAGTGCGGCTCATAACGAAACAACTTAATTTTATTAAAATATGACAATAATGATAAAAAAAAAAAAAAAACTGCATTAGATTTTGAGAACATAAAATAAGAAATGCAATTCAAATACTCGTTCTTCAACATTTTTAGAAACCACAAAACAGGCAATCAAATGCTGAACGTTTTCTATTTTCATTAAAAAATTTGATAAAAAAAAATTGCGTTGAAAATTTTTAAACCAAATTTGTTACTCTATTTTTAAATTATTCATAGTATAACCCTTTCCAAAAAATGAACGTTTACTTTTTTGATTAACTTTTTACAACCTCTAACAAAAAATTGCTCCTATACAGCGATGGTAGTAAAAACTAGAAAATTAAAAAACAAAAAAAAATGATTTTTTACACTTAATGAAGAATTTATTAAAATTATTACACAATAAAAAACAGAAAGTTTCATTGAATTTCAGAATAAAAACAGGTAAGTATTGAGGTGAGCGATAAGATGTGATAAGATAACAGATCAAGAAAAATCAACAAATTTTATCATATTTATTCGCGCACACACAAATGAATACACAACATACAGCTAAACACACACACACACACACACACACACACGCACGCACTCATACAAAAAATCACATATTCACACACACACAATGACACAATTTGAAAGTGATATCAAAAATCCGCATTGTTTTCATTGTAACTGAAAAAATATTTTTTTTTGTCATAATTATTTCTTTGGAAAACGAAAAAATTGTCAAGCCTAACATTATGAAAATAATCAGTTAATACAATACTCGTTAATTAATTAAGGAACTGACAAAGTGTACATATTTGCTTCAACTGTAAAACAAGTTTGATGATCGTTGAATGAAAAAAATAAAAAGACCTGTACTATTCTTTAACGAACCTAACTTCTTATTAATTTTCAACACTTCTGTATGCACAGAATACAAACAAGAATACAAGTACGTAACGTCATTTATTATGTGAAAAACGTCATAAATGTACTGTAAAAACTTAAAATTATCATGTTCATCACGTAAGCATGACGTAGAATATAACTGTAGCTAATGTTTATGAAAAAAAGAGAGAAAGAAAGTGCATTACAACTATATCGTCCAAATTCAAAACGGGAATTATTTTTTATTTACGTCAATAATGATTTTCATTAGAAATTACTATAAATATTGACTTGCAGTGATAATAAATAAAAAGTAATGGAATAAAAAATCACTAATAAACCAATCAATCAGTCAATCAAATATTCAAATTTACTGCCAATGAGCAATTAAAAAACACCCTCTTTGATACTTTTTAAACACTTAAGTTGAGCAAGTGAAAATCAAACACAATGACTGAAAATAAATACTGCTGAATGACGAAGTAAACGGAAGGGGTTGTTTTTAGTAAGATTAGCGCAAAAACTACCAAGTAATTAGTTCTATTCGCACGCATGCACTTCTTCATGACTGATGTTATGAAAAAATTTAGTCAAATTTCTATATTGAAGAAAAAAGCAAAATGAAAAATGAATGCAAGAATTCAAAATAAGACGGTGTCTTGTAATTAATTTCTTGCTTAATTTTTCAGATTAAAATCAATAACAATCCTTGAGCAAGTGTAAATATTTGAAAAATAAGTCATACACACGTACGAGGAACAATATCATGAATAAGGTCAAGAGGACCAGCCAAGGATTAAGGCATACTTAAATAATGAAATAAGATAAATTAGCTTCCTCACTACGTTAGTTAAACTTGAGATTAAACTTGCTCATCGTTTCTGCTTTAAATATTAACGAACCCTTTCTATTTTACGTATTTCTATAACACTATATATATATGTATAGAGTTTAAAACAAAAACTCTTTTCCCAACACCAGCAATATTTTTTAACCAACAATCGAAAGAAAAGAACAAAATTTACAACCAATAAAGCAGTAACTTACTTACTTTACTACTGGTTCATCATCAATTATCAATTACGGGCAGCCAAAGAGCACATATCTCCATTCTGCTGATCATTCTGCTAATGATAAACTACAATCTTGCGCCCAGAATGCCCCTTAGAGGTTTAAGAATTTAGACTATTTCGTGGAAACTGAACTCCATATTAACATTTTAAACTCATATTGCAATTTCTTCCATCACTTCAAATTACATCCATAGGACATCCATCTGCTTTAATCACCGTTCGTTTCATGGTATAATAAAAAAATTTTATACTCATAAAAGGCCAATTCCTACTACCTACATCACTTCTGACCAAGCTGAAAACTTAAATTTTTTTTCTTTGCACCATAACCTAATAATATTATGCATCGTCTCACGTAATTTTAGCAAAATTCCATGACATAAATTGTGAAAAATTAATTGCCCACAAAAGCTAAGCTAAACAGCCTTAATATATATCAAAAGACTTTATTTCAGTTCACAAGATTAAATTTACGATACGGGAAACAAATCAGTGAGATAAAAATTACAATATCCTAGGGGAAGATAAAAACACATCATTTATATTTCTCGAGATCTTACTCGTATTCGCAAAGGAAAGACCAGCAAGACAATAAGGACATATTAAATAATAATTAAAAATAGGTTCATATGAGCTGAAATTTCATATAATCCCAATAATTTATGTGCACAATCCCTTCCTCGATAAAAATATTATAATATTTAAAATATCTTTCTATAGTGCATTTTATGCACTTCACAATGTGCTTTTGAAGTTTTTAGATCAAATTTAGAAATGAACTAAAAACGTACCAGAGGGCAATAAATAATATAAATTTAGATCCAGCATGTTCTCTTTTTTGTTTGAATATATTTTTAAATATATTAGAAATATAAAATTACTTCAAAAAATTCACATAATGAAACTGAGTATACTGATCAGGTAATAGTAATAATTTTATGTACGGAAAATACTATCACTAAATACCATGCTTCGATCATAAAAATTAGTAGCAGTTTTAAAAAGTATTTGAACCATCAACATATTCGTTCATAAAAAAGAATATATCCTTCCACATTGTACACACTAGTTTCACTCTCAGGAGATACGTGTAAATCACTGGCAAAAAACCATTCTTCGTCCGTGGGGATTCCGTTATTCCTGAAAATATATAAATTATGAAGGCATTCTACGAGAACAAATTTCCTACAATATTATTTCAACTCTATAGCAAAAAGTGCAAAAATACAAATGGAATCGATAAAAAATTAGCAAGTGATTCTTAGGTATTAATCTTTCCCTGCTATTGGTTGATGATAAAGCTACTAATTGTGAAAATTTGGTAAAAATTTGCTTTTAAGACCAAGCTTATTTATTATACTATACAAAATTAAAATGTTACTCTTTCAGATCCTCAGCAGTATTTAAAGCAAATGGATCTGGTGGTGCAAGATTTGCGGCTTCATAAAAAAATTTCTCAGTTGTTGATGCAGAGGGACGATTTCTGATATGTGCAACATAATGACCCGAAGAGAGATCTCCAGAATGAGACACAATCCCGTAAAGTGCGTAATTAACCTTTTTCAATCCTTTTCCAATTCTCTAAAAAACTCAACATTCGTCAAAACTACCGCTAATTCTCACTCAAACTTAAATAGCAAAAACTGTAGTTAAAAATTTCAAGCTCTTTATGAGTGATAATGAGCTATAGAAAAACCGATTTAAGCTACAAGTGTCACTTAAAACTTTAGTAAAGATTGAAAACAATTCTGGTAATAAGAAACCTAGACATAATTTAACTTACTTTAGCGACTTGCGTACAGTATGGGGCAATATTTAGAATTAATGGAAAAGAAATTTTCCCGCCAACTTTCCGAGTTTGAACGCGACCACTCATTAAATGAGTCTGAAATGATGATAAAGTACGCTAAAAAACTGAACAGTAAAAAAAACTTATTATTTAATGCTTCCTGGAAACTTAGACATATAGCATTCAGTTCATGCTTCTTGACTGTTTCGGGAGAGGACGTTTTTTGTGTCGTTCCATGCTTGCTATTACCTTTGAGGAACTGAAGAAGCAATCTGCAGTCGATAGTATTGTGGGTATCCCGTATTGGCAGAAGTTTTTGAAGTAGTCAACGAAGTGTGTCGAGACACAAGACAAGTACCTCACACAAAATATGGGTCACAATGTCTAACTCTGGGATAATAGAGAATGATGATTTAGCAGAAAGAATATCTAGAAGAATTTATTTAGATCATGAAGTGCATGATACTTTGTCCTCTAAAGCCCAATTTTAGAAGATAGTTTTCTATTTCTCTAGATCGAAAGTTGCGGGCTCCAATGAAGTTTATAACTTCTTCATCAAGAAATCCATCCAGCATCCAGATTTATGTAAAATAAAAAGAGGATTCGTTTACATGGAGAGGAACAGGATTCATGGTTCTATAAAGAATTCAAAAAGGTGCCCAAGCAAAGGTAGTGCCAATAACTTATATATCGAACCTTTACAACTTGCGTAATGAAATTATATATTACCACTAGGAGACTACTAAGAGATAATCAACTAGGAATCACTGCCCAGTTCAAAGTGTGAAAGAGAAGACACTGTTGAATCTAGCAGTAAATAGAGAGCATGGAGACCAGCTACACACTACCCAGTAGTGATTGAAAGGCTCAACATTCCTACGTGAGCCAGTAGGTTTCTGAGAAGCATCACTTCCAGATGACCGGTTACTTTGAAAAACAATAAAGAAACCATAATGGAAAAAAAAATAACGAAGAATCCTTCAAAGTGCGAGCCTTTCTCCGCTGCTGTTCGTTTTATGCATGGATTCGTTGAGCCATAGGCTCCATGCATCAATATCAGAAAGATACCCAAATATGATGATTATCACCAATCAAGATATACACATAACGAACAATTTACTGTTTGTAGGTACCTCAAGACCGTTGCAATCGATGAAAATATCATGAAATCTATAGTCAGAGAAGTTGAGAAATTTTTCGATGTGGGAGGACTAGAAGTGAATCAGCCACGTGTGAAGTCATCCACGCATGAGATGGTCGACCATCTAGCAACGCGGTGCGAGAAAATGTTATATCATGACTATATTAGAAGGTACAATGAGGTCCAGCGATGTATCCATTTAGGACTCTGCAAAGAGTATGGACTGGAAACATTTCCGTGCATGCGAAGGCACTCTCTTCAGAAAAAACTTGCGAATGAAAACATGGAAATGAGAGTCGATAAGCGTGTTAGAACAACTATAAAGATAAGTATGAATCGAACGAATATCATGGTGCACAATGAAAAGTAACATGAAGTAATCCTGATAAAGATCGGCATTACTAGTCTGGACACTTTAGATCAAAACGCGCAAACATATCAAGCATAAAGATTCAGTAAATTTAAAACGATTTTTCAGTATTAGGAAAATTAACGACTGAAATGCAAATGCATTTTTTGCAAGTAAGATAAATGACAGAGTATCAATATGTGGATGAAATTCGAAATTACCTGTTCAAACCGTTTAATATGCAATGTTAATACTGGCGGAGGCTCATATATCAGATAACGCTTTTCAGCTTCAACTGTTCTTTTCTTCATTCCATTTCGAAGCTGAAAATAAAGTTCTGATACTTTCGTGTCAAAATAATTCAGTACTAATGCAACGAAAGAAATGCTCTGAAAGCAAAGGAATACCCATGGAATAATTACCTGAAGTTAACCCTATTCTAGTGATAAAATAATGTAACCTGTTTGTTATGTGGAACGCAACATTTTTCACATTCATATGTATTGGGTGCCAACAAATACTCAGTAGCGGTGAAAGCCCGAAGACATGATGTTAATGAACATTGTCCATTTTCTTCAATTTTTTCAGAACCGAGTGATTGCAAACAGTTATCGTCCTCAAAATTCTTGTTAATCTTATCCATTTCGCTGTAGTCATTGCCTACAAATTTAACATCATCTTGAGCAGAACTAAACAATAAGAAGAGCAGCATTCCATGAAATTTTCATATGGTAGTATTTAAAGTGTTAATTTGTAATCTGAATTTCTATAGCTTTACAAAGTATTGTAATGTGCTACTGTAGTTAAATAATTACAACAAAAATAAATCATAAAAAACATAGGTTTGAAAAACTACCGCACGGATTCTTAGTATTATAATTTCCGTCAATTTCTTCATCGCTATTATCAAGGCAGTCAGCACTACAGTCGACTTCATTATTACGTGAAATGATTTCATGAGATTTCCGACGCTAAAAATTCAGATGAAAGGAATCAAGAAGATTTGAAAACAAAAATATGCAGCTACGTTTTGTTGATGCAAATATTGAAAAAGAATATTAGGCAATAATCACTGACCCCCTTACGTGATTTCAGTTTCTCTTTCTTTTTCTGATGTTTGCTTAAAGTAAGAGAAGCTGATTTATGCATTTTATTCTGGCCATTGAATAATGATTTGGTTGATGTAGACGGAAGAGGAAGAGAAAGATCCAGAAAATCTTCATAAGTTTTCGAAAGATGACCACATTCACAGCACTTTACTGTTTGAAGAAGAGTGCCACCAAATACTGCATCAATTAGTGGTCTCCCACATGCTTTAAGCATTCCCTAAAATATCAGTTGAAAACCATAAAGCTATTGAGAAACAGTGTACATCATTTTTTTGATACGCACACTAATTGAAACTTAAAACAATTTCAACAACAAGCTTGACAAAAGTGTGTATATAATGGAATGCAAGCTTGAATTCTCGCAATGAATATGAGCTGTTATTCATGCAATAGTAAGACATACTAAAAAGTTCAAGGCACAAATTCAGCAAAAAATCTATTAGAGTTTGCAGAAACTCAAAAAAGAGAGATCACATCTTTGCACTGAAAAATTAAACCTTACTTTGGTTAATAAGGCTAGGTATTCATCTGTATAATTCTGATTTTCGTCTTTTGCTGTTTTGATGTATCGAGTAATAGCTTCTTTGTAACGAGTCAATTCTTCAGTTCTAAGGCCATCCAAAAGGTACCGTAATAATTCATGAGCATCTTGCTGTGACCATCCCCGAAAACGTGGAGCTCTACAATACAGTAAGTTAGATACAAAAATTTCATAAGGAAAGTCAAAATTAAAGCTCAAAAAAAAATGACAGAAGAGATGAGTAAATATTGTTTTGCTCACCATCAGCAAAAAAAAAAAATTGAACCTGTCATGAACTGGAACCTTTTTGTTATGTAAATAGAAACTGTTTGTCCTTTATTTTTGTTAACTAGGGATGTTCTTAATAAACTGAAATTCAACCTTTTGGATATCTCAGTAAACAAATCCAATGGATTTACTGTTTTTCCAGCCTTGAAATCGCGCAAAAAGTTTGCAAAAACTTTATTTAGTGGTCCATTGAACGAACCCAAAGGTAAATGCACATGGGGCACCTGCAACATCAATGTGATGAAATGAAATTTAATAGTTTAGCACTAAATTGGACTAATAGATAGATTAGCACACACCTTATCAGTTATATATAATATCAGAGACGAAATTTTTTTGTAATACGCGTTCATTTAATATCAACATTAAAGATACCACCTTATGAGTGATTACATGTTTTTATAAAATTTACAAGGCATTCAAAGACTTCATAACCCTTGGAAAATAACGAACAAAACCACTACTACATCATGATTTATGATACAACATTTTTAAAAGTATTTACTATCGCAAATATTAATATGTAGACTTAGAGTAATTCTTTGTTTCTGCTCAGTAATTTTATATTAAACACTGAAGAAGTGTGTAATTTTTCTAATCATATTTCATATTTTGAAGTGATTATCAAAAAAATAAAACACTGCATAATGATAAGAGCTTCAATAATTTTGAGTACAAATTTACTAGATTTAGAAATGATTTATTTTTGCTGAATTCAGCAAATTACTTTGAAAAGCGGCCAAATATTACAAAAGAGAGTTACAAAGTTCTGGTGAATATACCTTCACTTCTTTATCGCCAATTAAAAATGTATTCGACATGAGTTCAATGCTGTCTTCTCGACCGACTAAATCAATGTACACAGAAAGCGTATGAGTATGAAGAAGGCACTGTGTTATTGAATTGAAAAAACATGTGTTACCGAGATTAACAAGACCCTAAAAGAAGTGAATAACCAAAAATTACTTTTCTGTAAAACAGTCTTAAAAAATAATTTTGCTGCTTAAGAGAAAAATAATGAACTTTAAACTTGAATTACTATGAAAAGTATATTTGCAAACATTCTACTTATGACACACAAGTCTTCAAACCTTTATCGGTACCACTTGATTGCTTTTCTCGTCCGTGTTCACCTTATTATTGCTTAACCTTCTGCCAACGCATTTTCTTTTAATATCTGCATCCTCTACAGACAAAGAACTTTCGTCTATATTTCCACCTTTAATTGACTGAGATTCCCCTGTGCGAACTTTGGATACTGTTTTCATGAATGAATTATAATCGTTGACAAATGTTTTCATTGGGCCACTTTCCTCCTCAGAACTGTGAAAATCTTTTGCACAATCGAGACACCTTGAAATATAGTGCATTTTGATAAAAGGTGTTTTTTCCATTCTCCTTACAATACTGATAATTTCTGGTAACAGTAATCGATCAAGGCTATTTGAACATGTTGAGTCGATAACATTTCCACCCGCTTCACGATATATTAAAAAACTTTTAATAAAGTTTAGAGATGAGTTTTTAGATCTACCTAATTTGAAAATATAAAAATCACTTAGAACTACTTCTTCTAGTTAAACACATATGCTAATGAATCGCTGCGCTTGCACGCAACCATTCATTAGAATGATGGAATAAGAAATGTTAGTTCTGAAAAATTTAAGCCAATTAAAACCATCTCTCAATTTTTTTAATATTAAAAATTACCGAAACTTTTGATTTTCGATAGCAAAATACAGTGGATGTTTCATGCCACTACGCGTTTCTTTAAAATGATTTAAACTGTGACGGTTTTCTTCACAGCCGAAATGACTACAAGTGACACATACCCATACCTTAAAAATCATTAAGCTGTTGCTTGTTTCATGCAAATGTTTTGTTGTAAAACTCACAACAGTGATAAAAGCACAAAACATTCCATGAAATTCGGAAAATACGTACCAATGATTGACGTTCTTCTATAGTCAAATTCGGGCAATTATCGCAATAATTTACTTCTATACTTCTCTTGAGACGTGCCTTCAATTTCCTTCGTAAAGTTGCAGGTTTAAATAATCCTTTTTTGTTTCTGTGTGTACAATTTACGGCAGGTACTAAAAAAGAACTGTATCAAAAAAGTTTGTAGTGGATTAAGAGAAAACAGTAATTGCAAACAAATTTATTGCAAATGAAAAAGTTAACACGTTCTGCAATTACAATACAAGAACCATTGCAAATCATTACAGTCAAAACTAATTTATAGTATAAAAAGAGTTTGAACAATAAGTCATAAGATGGATACATACCATCACTTCCGGCTGCATTTTCCGTAGTTGCGTTGAATTGATGGACAGCCTCAGAAAAGATCTGACCACCTTCAAGCATTTGATCTAATTGACTAGCAGTTTCAGTCATTAGTAGAAAATGATTTAATAGTAGAAGTTGCTAATCAGTGCTTTTGCTTCATGCAATGATTGAAGAAGCGAAATCCTAAAATATTCAAACCCTAACTTTAAATGCAGTTAGCAAACTACACACAGCATAAGTAACGCACTGAATAAAATGATAAAATTTAATAATTTTACGTAAATACGTACTGTACGATGATCATATTCTCCACACTAAAAACACCACAATCATGCATTGCCCACACTAGGTTAACACTGCCATACCACAACCTTTCTATGCGTTACGTGAAATTTTTTTAATACGACTCGTGAGATACAAGATTTTCATTCAGAGTCTATCAAAGTAATACGATAGCATCGTTGTAATATCACCTTGCAATTATAGCAGCAAATACTTTGAGCTGCAGTAGTCTTGTCGTGTCGTGGGGTAGTTTAGACTACAGTTGTGCAGTTTCTCTTACGCTAAGTATGAATTCGCAAGTTTCGTAAGTAACGGAAAGTCTAGTTAGTTCGGAGTCATATGAATGAATGATTGCATAATTTGAGTTTCTTGAATTATTTAGTTATGCATTTTAATTGATTTCAGAAAGAGAAAATTTTTGACAAAATTATTATTTATGTCTACTGTTTTTGTACTGTTAGACATCAATGTAATGCAACCGATCATCCAAAAATCTCTATAATCAATCAATCAATCACTAATTATGCAGATTTGTAATTTTTTTTTTGATAAATTATCAAAGATAAGATCACTGAAGCAAAGAAAGAAAAGATGTTCCAAAATAGTAAATAAATGTTAAGACATTTGTATCTTTTCAAATGGATAAGGTGGAGATGAGCAGAGCGAGATTTCGATATTCTGGAGAAATATATTATTGGAAAAAATCGGCATTATAATGACACTTACTGCTGTTATTAGACTGGGCTATAAATTCAGTCTATGAAATAAATGGTAGTATGTTAAAGTTATTATATTTGAAGACAATAGATGTTACAAAAATAGATGCTTTACTTTACTCAGACATGAATATCGTAAAAGTTTACTTAATCAGTCCAGTAATGAGTAATCAGAGGTGCATTGTATGTGTGCGAACTTATTTACAAAATTAAATAAAGTGATCGAATTACTGATTGTTGAAATAGATTCTTTTACGTCATTTCTCCTGAATTAATAAAAACTTGAATAGAAAGCAGCATATGCATTTACGTTCTGTAAATATGCGAATGCGACTTTGGTACTTCACAAGATTGTTTACTCTGTCACTTTATATTGCCGTTATTAATGTTGCATATTTTGCAGCCATAATTTTAACTTGCCTGAAACTGGACAGATGTTGGCATTTCAATTAGTTTTATGTAAATTGGTTTCAAACGCATTTTTGAGGTTTCAATTAGTTTTATGTAAATTGGTTTCAGACGCATCTTAGAGGTTTCAATTAGTTTCATGTAAATTGGTTTCAAACGCATTTACGAAGTTTCAATTATTTTTATGTGAATTGGTTTCAAACGCATTTTTGAGGTAGACAAACTAAGAAATAAAATGAGTGCTTGCACTACTTTATTTTTTCCGTGATTCAGTAGCATTCATATATAACGCCTTCAATTTGGATATCTTATTTTTCTGAATGCGGAAAGTGTTAAATTTGTCAGTGTTTTTTGATGTTACGAAGAAATTAAAGTAAGTTTGCTTGCAGTGGAGGAAATATAGATGAGTGTGCCTTTAGCAGTGGAAGGTATGGACGCCTTGGCTCTTGCCCAGGAAGGTGAACGGTTATGTCGGGAAAATAATATGAAAGCAGGTGTGCAATCCTCACTTTTATTAATGGCTATTACTCTATATCTTGTGGTCACCTAAAATTATTAATAAGTATCATTTGATTTAGAAACAGTAATTATGGTCAAAGTTTTTTTTCGGTACTGTTGTCGTTCTAATGATATGTATTCCTATTTTTGCTCAAAATAATTCATTTATAAAAGTCATCTAACAGCATTTGAGGTATCACTTTGGTTGAATAACAAAGTAATGGTTTGAAAAATGGAATTATTGTAACTCAAGAATACTGCTTTACAGGAATCAAATACTTGGAAATGGCCATAGAGAAGAAAATTAATTTAGGAGGACGCAGCTTGGAAGCTCTATCTGCCATTTATTCACAATTAGGAAATGCATATTTTGTATTGCGCATATTCGACAGAGCACTTGAATATCATCGTCATGATTTAGAAACTGCCAAGTAAGAATGTGAAGGATGCTTTCACTATTTCAAATAGATATGTTTTTCTAAGGTTTTTCTTTACACAAATGTTTAAGTTTATTAAAACGATTTATTGGAAACATGGCTATTCACGACAAACAGTGTGTTGCTTAGTAACATAGTGATTACAGTTATGTCTGAATTGCTAAGAAATCGACAGTAATAAGGCATTTTGTATTTCGTATTTAGATTACTTGGTGATAGTTCTGGACTGGCAAAAGCCCATGGAAATTTAGCAAATACTTATAAAGCAGTTGGGGATTTTGATAGTGCGTATGAACATGCAGTTACACATTTACGATTAGCACAGGAAATCAGTGATAAAGTAAGTCTGCAAGTTTTTAAAGCGTATGTTTGCCTTTTTAATTGATAGTGACGCTTTATATTTTAAAGGCGTTTGTTATTTTTGCTTTTTAGCGTCATTAATTAGTCAGTTTCTTGAAAATTATGCTAAAATTGCTATTACAAGATGCTTCTTTGCGGAACATAGTTCCATCATCATAAACAAAAATAAGCTTAAATTGGAAACCGAAAGGTCTTTTTTCACCATCATCAAATTATCTTCTTCATTTCTAAGTTTCTAATCGATTGCCTAGATATTTATGTTTAAGATTTTACAGGTAGGATTTGCATAATGCTGAGAACATTAAAGATTTTTTTGCTTGCGTAGTACAAGTACAATACTATGTGAAATTAATCACTTGTTTAAGAATAACTTTCACTTCGGTATCATTTTGCAAGGATTTTTTAGGAATGTGAAGCTCGTGCCCTGTATAACGTAGCATCGGTGTATCACTGTCGAGCAAAAACAATAATTCATGCATCATTACCTCTTGATCAATCTGGTCTTCTTACAGCTGGTGATATGACTGCAACTTCTCAGCTTCAAGCTGCCATCAATTGTTATTTGTAATCATCCTTTGCATTAGAAAATTTTAGATCAGATTTATCAAAAATAAATTTAATTAGCTTTGATAATCTTTTTCATTAATGATGTACTAGTATTCTTCATCAGTATCAAATTATCTCCTTTATTTCCAAGTTTCTTAGCACTTCCCTTGAAGTGGAAATTTAAAATTTTGCTTTCGAAATTGTATTTGGATTCTAAATTAAAATTTTATTTTTTCGTATAGCAAATATTTGTATATATCAAGGATTTTGCAGACAGAATTTGCATATTGTTGAGGGCATGAAAGATTTTGCTGCTTGCGGTAGAACATACGGCAACATTGGTAATAGCTATTATATGCTCGGTGATTATTCAACTGCTGTTTACTACCATAATAAAGTAAGCGTATCAAGCAAAAGAATTAATTAGTTTTGATTTTTTATTTAAGCTAGTATTTCTTAAGGTTAATAAACAAAAATTTTTGAACAAATCAATCTTTTCAACAACTTAAACGCTAGAAAAATCGGTATTTTCTTCCGCGTTTCGACTCTTTTTAACTATGAAAATCAAGAAGTTTTATAGAATTTTAAATAGAGTGTATGGAACCAGATATCTGAATCATATTTAAATTATTCAGCGACTGGAAATTGCTCGACGATTTGGTGACCGTGCAGCAATGCGACGTGCTTATACTAACTTAGGAAATGCTCATATTTTTCTTTCAGAAACTACAAAAGCCTTAGAATATTATCGGTGGGTTAAACAATTTTTTTCCTAATTATTTGCATGTAAACATCGCACTAAATTAGTTCCATAAACTTAGCATAAATAAAGTCCTCAAGCATGGTTTCACGCCTTTCGTAGGTTAAATCTGTATTCAAAATATAAAAACTAGCTTGCTTATGCTCTTCCGCTATTCTAAAAATAAAATTTTCAGTCTAGCTCTATCATTAGCATCGGAATTGCATGATGAAGTGATAGAAGCCCAATGTTGTTTTAATGTTGGTAATGGTGCAGCTATTTGTGGTGATTACATAATAGGTTTGTCTAAGTTATATCTTCAAAAAATCTATTTATCGATGAGTTCGATCCCCTAGCTTCTTTGTGAGCACTTCTGGAACGTTTATAAATTTCAACATTACACTTTAATAAGGAAACAACATTTCATTTCATGTTAGTTTATTGTGAAGTTTATGCTTACCGATATAACTGTTGAGGTATTTCTTCGCTCTCCTATAATAGGTACCTTTTACATCGCTTGAACTTTTGAGCTTAATATTTCTGAGAATTTTACTTTATGGGAACGTTTATAAATTGCACTGCACTTTATTAATTTAATCTATACTAATTTATTTCAAAATGTATGTTCAGTTTTATTCAAAAATCGAGCATGCAAAGATCTGGTTTCAGCTACGGAATATCATACTCGTTATTTAAAACTCACTAGGAAATTGAGAGATCGTGGAGGAGAATCTCGTGCATGCGCAGCATTGGCAGCAGATTTTCGGAAGCAGAATAAAGCCGAAAAAGCACTGTATTTTTTTATCTTACAAGGTCATATATCAATAGAGGTTAGTTTGTCTTTCAGATCTTCATTATCCTATCTTTAGTTACTATTTGACTACTATAAGTGTGGAAAACTTAATTTCATTATCGATGAATACGAAATTTCGGACATTGCTTAAATAATAAGATTTTCGCCTTTCGTCGCAAGATTTTTATGACTTCCTCCTTAGTGCTTGATGTAATTTCAATTGTCCTAGTTCTGTGTACCTGGAAATGTCATATTTATTGTGAAAATCTTTGATTCAAAATACTGACCATTTATTTGTTGCCAGTAGTGTATGGGAATAGGGCATCCGTTTGTGGTGATGATATAACAGGTTTGTCAAAGTTTCATCTTCAAAAGATTTATTTACCGATGAGTCCGATCCCTCAAGTTTCTTTTTAAGCACTTTTAGAACGTTTATAAGATTCAGCACTGCACTTTACTTTATTAAGGAAACAATTTTAATTCATACTAATTTATTTCAAAATGTATGTTCATCTTTGTTATTGTTGAAGTATCTTTTTGCTTTTCCATAATAAGGATCTTCTACATCCTTCAGTTTTTCGAGTTTGATATTTTCTGAGAATTTTGCTTTAATTTTATTCGGAAATCGAGCATGCAGATGATTGATTATTGATTCAGCTACTGAATATTATACTCGTTACTTAATCGAAAGTCATGAATTGTCTGTCATCTGTCTATTTGGAATTGAGTTTCTTATTAATTTGGAAAAACGTTATCTTTTGTAAAGAAAATTAAATGAATTGCACTCTAAAAATTGCTTTTTGAATCGTTTTATCGTAATCAAATGATATCATCTCTTCAAGAAATTATTTTTTAACACAATTTCAATTCGATATTTTTAATAGTAAATTGACCTTTCTGGGGTATTTTTGTTTTTATGGTAATTTTAGAAGTTTAAACATGATAAATGCCGTAGAGTATAAAATTGTCAGTGATATTAGTGCTTTATATGTTTAATCAGATGCTAGTAGTAAATAAGATTCAACCTCTTCAACAATATTATTGACATAAAACATTTACTTTTGGTAAATTTCATGTAATCGTAATCAGGAATGTAAGAGGTATATGGTATATCAGGGAAGCGATTAATCATAGATGAAGTTTCAAGTAACATCGTAGTGTGATTATCGATGTATTTGGAGCAGCTCTTCCCGTTTTCCGTATTTTATTCATTTCCATTTCAAGAGAAGTAGCTAGCTATATTGCCTCCACGGAATCAAAGTAATGCTAATTATTAATAATATAAAACAAAGAAATCGATACGTGGATTTAGTTCACACAAACATGAATGGGTGGAATTTGATTAATTGCTAAAAAATTGTAATAAGTTTTACTAGGTAAATTTGTTTTTTCATTTAAATTAATTATTGGCATTGTAAGTCTTTTCCTTTTCTGGTGTTTATCTTTTTCAGTTTTTATTCACTTCTAAATATGTTCCACCATTTCAATTTCAGCTAAAGGTTTTTCGTTGCTTTTCATCAGAATTTTATCGAGAACTTTGTATCATGGTACACAATTATAAATATGATTTGAAACTGAAAGCTATTTTAAGTCGACAAATGTGTAACTTCCTTAAATTCTCCAGCTTTTGTTCTTTGTAGCCTTAGTTTTTTATCCAGTTAATGCTAATTTAACACAATTTTTTGTAGTATAACACTGCACTTATATATGTTTTGAAAACTTTTGTAAATTAACAAAAGGTATGTTTTTCCTCTGCTCATTGATTTTCTCAGTAGCTAAAAATCTATGTATAATTTGTGCATAACGTATATTTAAGTGATAAGCCTACTCTCCATGTTATTTAAGTATAATTTTATTAGTCATTGGAAAAGACTGAAGCAATATTTCGATTTGTATTCTGGCCTTTTTTTCGTCTTTACTGTTGTGGTTATGTGTCACTGAGACGAAACCTACCATTCATTCCTTGTTAGCGAGATTTTTCAACTCTCTCTTTAATGCACAAATATTTATTTTAAAACGTAATGCATACCAGATCTAATCATTTCACCTTGCCGCCTCTATCTCATGCAGAATAATGGGAATTCGTTGTACTGTGTAATCAGATAATTTTTTCCTATATGTGCATGCATATATATATATATCATTTTTATTTTTAAAATAATCATAAATTTTGTTTAGTGAAGTGTAGAGATAGATTTATATCAGTCAGCATTCTCTAATTAAATAGCTGCTGCTGCTACATGGCGAGAATCACATGCAAATATTTAGTCAGTGTAGATTTTTTCAAAAAAGAAGCGCACAGATCATTTGTAGATACTTGACGTGAAAGGAATCCAACGTGAATGATTAGTGAGTAGAAATATTATATTTATCTAAACATTGTCCATTTGTCTTGTGCTTGCTTGCTGGAGGCTCATTAGTTAATTGAATCAAGCATTTAATCTTTTTGAATGATGAAAAGAAAGACTAGCACACAAGGCCTTGAGATTCATGTACTTTTGAGATTAAATGAATATTTGAGTTTTTTCATACCCAATAATGCATGTAAAAAGCACGCGGCCAATTAATTTAATCGATTGGCGCTGTGCCTTTTTGTTTGCAGTTTTTGTTAGACTTTGCTATTTTTTATTTTTCAGTAATTTATTTAAATTTTCGATTTCGCTGTTGGAGTAATTTTGATGAAAAAGTTCACGCTAATCACAAACTATAAACATCTAATCATAGTGTATAATTTAGTAATGTCGTGTTGCTACATAATGTCATGTGAGATTGTCGAGAAAGAAGCAGTATTGGAATTTTTGGTGTATTGTTTACTTTTGTTGTACATTAGAGTGAGTATCTGATTGGTTAACAATCTGAAAGTGAGCAAAATGGAAGGTTCTGAATTGATAGTCGACAAGACAACGTTTCTGCCAATGTTGTTAAGATATCTCGATTTATCGATAAATCAAAGATTTAGAAACGAAAGTTTTTTTGATTCATTTCTTTCTAATGAGAACTAGCTCTGAAACGTTTCAAGACAGAATGCCTTATTAGCTTTCTTCACATTTCCATAGTATCCTTTGCTAGCCGTGTGCTTGTCAAAGTACTGCATAATCTAACCTAGCTAGTAGTCATTCCCTTTTCTCTCATTTTTTATTTCGGAAGAGAGTAAGAAATTAAAAGGAAAATTTGGTTAAAATTAGATTGTTGCCTCCTGAAATTATTTTTTCAGTTCCTTCAAGTAAGCAATAAATACTTAAATAGAATTAATTCTTATTTATCTTTCATTGCAGATATACATTTATTGCAGGTTAACTTACTGCAGCTAAACCTCTTACGATCTTACACAGTTGATAATCAAGATATTAGTGTTAAGTATAAATCGAGATTGAGTTCCAAAGTAAGCATTAAAGTATTATCATTTGTAGATGGGTGATCAAAGTGGGGAAGAAAGTGCGCGAAATTCATTGGAAAGTTTGTTGAGATCGGTGAATAATTGGCCTGTAAAGAAAGTTAGCAGCTTGCAGTTAGATGCATCTGGTGATCCTGAACCACGCAGTTTATCTGATTTGAATGCTTCTCTACAAAAGCTGCTCATAGATTCGGATTCAAACAGCATTACATCTAGTAGCAGACGTTTATCGGCTGATGTTACGACATCAGTAACTGATGGACAGGTATTTAAATACTGTATTTTTTCGTTACTTTGTGCAACTTGCTTAAGGTAGTTTGTCATATAATCGGTAGGAAATGAACTGCTAAGCATTTAATTAAACACTTTAGTTAAAAAATTATCATTAGTTTAATCAATATTGTTGACTTACTTACATATTTGAATTGAAGCGTTGAATAGAAACAGAATCATGTAGTTTAGAGTTATTAGATTTCATGTATTAGGAGAATTTCTGAACAAAATTTGATTGCATTTCTTATGGGTTGCATTTGCTTTAACTTTGTGGGATAAAATAATAAACATTTTATTTTTATCCAAAAAATATCCTATGCCATAATGACTTTAGCATAATTCATTTATTCCAATAAAAATTAAACATATATAATCTTTCAGGATTATAAATCTATTTTCAACTATGCTTATGGCTGCTAACCGCTTTTTTGCTACAAAAGAATTTTAATGTTGATATTTTTATTTTTGAAGTTTCAAAAGATAATTACTTGTTCATAAAGGAGTAGCATTCAAATATCATGTTCTTTGTAATAACTATGTATGAAATTGATAATCTTCAAGTTTGTGGAAGACTAAATTTATCAAAATCAAAATTTCTCGCTACTTTTTAAATCATATACTTTCACGTCAAAATCTTCTGACTCTTATGTTGCTATCATTTTTTAATATCTTTTATTTACATGTCTTTAATGAGATGAAAACGTGACTAGTATGGAATTTGATTGTGCCATTTCCGAACTAAATTTATTGCGTACATTTTAATTATGAAACATTTGGATTTCATTTATAATTAAAGACTGGGTATCATGATTTTTTGTATTAATTTAATTTAGGTTGTTTTCATTTGCTGTTTATTCTAGTATTATTCATATAGAGACTGTATTGTAAATGTAGTTGACAAAAATGAAATTTCAGCAAATGAAAGAAAGTAATCATGATGATGATTTTTTCGAAATGGTTTCCCGATTGCAGTCAAAACGACTCAACGACCAACGTTGTGATCCAATAATTCTGAGTGATTTAACAAATCACTCTAAAAACATTACTCGACAATCAGATACCATTGTCCACAATTCAGGTTAAAATTTTTCGAGAAGAGAATATCAATATTTTTTTTAAAAATAATATGAGATCAAGTGAGTTGTTTATATCATATCCTAAAGTAGATTGTTTATTTTTGTCATAGTCTTATAAATTAATTATAAATATTTGCCGCGAATTTTTGTTTATAACTTTATAAAGTTTTAAATTTCTGTATTTCGGAGATTTTTTAGCGCACTGTAAGTTATTTATTAATTGTTGTTTCTTCGTATAAGAAAAAATATTTATGCAGATATGTTTATTTAGATTCTTTTTGCATGTGTGCAAAATGATATGAAAGTATTGAGGATAACAAATTTTCTGATTTACTTACTAAATTTTTTATTAAGCGTTGTGCTTTCTGCTTGACGTTATCAGTGTTCTGTACACTTGTTTTTAATTTTACTATTGTGGTTGTGAGAAATTATTTATCAGTCTTGTGTTTTGACTGCAAAAATTGAGATGTTATTTACATTTCTTAATCGTATTTGTAAGCCTGCTGCGTGATTTTGTGTTTCTGATAGTTATAGTCTGTGATTTTGAATCTCATTTTTTATTAGGGAAAGAAGAGGGAAGATATTCTGGATCTAAGCATCGGTTGTCATCGCTTTTTGGACGTGTGGGAAAAGCTGCTCGAAGACAAAGTTTATTAATGTCTACTTCGTTTTTTCCTTCCATCACTTCAACACCTCGAAGTACCATATCTTCGAAAAAGCAATACATACTTACTGATGAAAGCAATCATCGATTACAAAGCAAATTGCAGCCATCCCCATCATATTTAACTCGTACTTCGAATCCGACAATACCAGTAGACGAAAATATTGGAAGTGTGAATGATAATGATACATCCAGCACATCACAAGTAACGACTTCATCGGAATTTCGAGTTCCTGTTCCACCGCCACGTAATAAAGCAAGCCGTAATCGAGCCCTTTCATTGAATTCTGTTTCTTTAAGCCACAAAAGTTGGTTTTGTTAAGTCACATTCTCATTCCAAGAAAAGCTTTCTTTCCTTTTCTCAAATTCCTTTTTTTGCATGCATAATTCTTCTACTTTCGAAAGTTCTATCATTATCTACTGGTACTTTTTTCTTTTTTATAAAGAAGAAGCTAATTATTTAGTATTCATTGTAAAGTTCAAAAAAGGATTTACTTTTGGTCCATTGTGTGCATGCATTTATTTTGAAATGAGAAGTAGAATTTAAAAACTGGTGTTAAGTGTGATTTTGCTAAAACGAATAAATCTTTCTAAATTTTTAGCATCACACTTTTTTTCTTAGACATGCGTGGTAATGAAAAATTTACATTTCACTGTGAAGTTCATGTCAGAATCAATTATGCGTAATCTGTAGATGGTGCGGAAGGAATGCTTGATTTGATTGCTAGTTTGCAAGGCCGTCGAATGGAAGAACAACGAGCTCACTTATCTGTTCAACCAGAATCGATAGTGTTATCGGTTCCAAATAACAGTGATGAAAGAAGTATTGCTCGGAAAAGGTAAGCAAAAATTTTTTCTATTCATTCTTATTGTATTTGAACTATTAATGCTATATTTGTATGCAAATTATAATTATAAAATCAAATTTGTGCAGAATATTAGATGTAAATCTTGGTTACTCAAGTTAATTACAGTATGGGAGATAATGCTCCATCTTCATTATCAGACCATGAAAGAACACGATTGGAAGATGCTGGTAATCTGTATGAGATGGTAATTCGTAGTCAGAGAGGTCGCCTGGAGGAGCAGCGAAGTGAACTACCAGTTATGCCTAAAAGTATACCTGCAGAAGATGTTTCCAGAATTGTTATGTCTATGCAGAAAGGACGGATTGAAACACAACGTGCTGTGCTTAACCCACGTCCACAGCGCTAAGCAGTTTTTCTTTTTACTTTTACTTACACATCTTTCAACATTCATTTTAATACTATATTTTTTGCTATCCTTGCATTTATTCTGAGTTTTTTTTTCAGATATCTCATTTAGATTATCCGATAAATTGTCTATTATCCTTTAAAATTCTAACTTACATGCTAATAAACAAAATGGAAAAAGAAAATCGTGCGAGAATAAATGGATAATTTCAGAAAATAAAGATAAGGAGTTTATTCCTTTTTTGATCTTGAGAAGTCTTCAGCTTTCCTATCCGCTTTCTGTGTTTATTTTATAGCTTTGAAACTTGTATTATTTTTGAAGAGTAAGTGTTATTACAAGGGAATCTTGTCCTTTCTCTTTTTTTTGTTTAAATTATTACAAATTATGATAAATAATACAACATAGCAAGAAAAATTGCGTTTGCATAAATTTTTTTTTTTGGCAAATTTATTTTGCTATTATTTTATTGTAGTACTGCTAATCTGTTAGACTGCTTACTTTTACAAAACTGTTTTTGTATTTTTGTGCATCGTACTCATAAAAAGATAATTCTTTGTGCTTACATTTTTATTTTTCATTCTCAGAATGTGGTATCATCAGCTGCTATAAAAACTTACATAATATACTACATACTTTTTTGCAAAAAATCAGAAGTTTTGTTTTCATTCACATCATTGAATTATTAGAATGTACTAAGTTGCCGGTTCAATTTGCATTTGGCATTTTTTGATATAGTAAGAATTCTTATTTCAGCAATAATGCGAACAAAATTCGTGAGTCATTGTTGCAAATATTAATCTCATAGAACTTTTGAATAGTTTATGCTACAATTGAAGTATTCGTCATCATTGATAAAAAATTCCGTATGCATCAAGTGTTGGTTCCTTTGGTAATAAATCTGGTCATTGTTATAGGATGAACTATGAGTGATGATCAAATAATTAGCAATGTCATATTTATTCATACTGATGGTTCTGTAAATAATTCATTGTCATGCTTTTCTTGTATTCTTTGCGTTTAAGTCGTTTATCAAATGTTTCGTCACGTTTCGTTTCCACTCGTGTATGATTGTGCTGATTTTCTTTCTACATATTTCGCTGTAGTTATTTAAAGTGCTTTTGAAAAGAGAAACAAAGAGAAAATAGTAAACTTGCTGATTAGTTTCTGTTGACAGAGAGTCTCAGCTGGTTATTTATATAGACATGTGTTCGTCGTTTTCAGTATGATCATGCCTATACATTAATATTTGTGATGTGTTTTTGATCTGTCTTCATTGGCTTTTATTTATTGTAACACTCTGACTGTTTTGTAATACATAGCAATAAATTGTACTGTGGCTTCAAAATAGCTTATCAAAAATATTGTAGTGACCGAAACATCAAAGAATATTTAATTATCTGTCCAGTCGAGTTGTTAAGGGATTCATTTTAAATTTCCTTCCGAAGTGATTACCTTAAATAGTAGGACTTAGAGCTTTTACTACAAAAAAATGATCGAAGTTATCACTACCGGAGCAAACTGTGGCTAATTTCTGGAGTGGATAAGTTGCCTAGGGTGAGTCAGATGTGAGGGTGAGCTTGAGTTTGAAACGAAGAAATTTTCATAGAGCGGCCGCGTTTTTCATGAGTAAAATCTGCGAGATAATTTTTTTGTTGCTGGTATAAGGAAATGTGAAGTGTGTTAGTAGATCTCGTTTTCAGACTTATAAAGCTAGATGATTAATCATGGAGGATAAGTTGGATTCTGTTAAAAATGCCTTAGAAGCTGTTTACAATCCAACTGTTGATAATGGGCGAAGAGTAGAAGCATTTCAGGTTATCTTTTAATAGTATGTTTTATTTACCCAAAATAGCCTCAAAATTGGCTAGAATTATTTGATCAACTTGATGATGTTAGTTATTGACTTTTAAGTAGTTTTTCGGTTTTTTAATTTTTCTTAAATAAATTTGGTATATGAAAAATGTATCGTGTCACATTCATTTATTTCAGTAATTCAGTAATTTTTCAAATATTGAAATTTTCAGTTTTATTAAGGAAGGAAAGTTTGTTTGACTTGCAAAAACTTCAATTCGTATTTGTGTATAATTGCGGTATTTACTGCTGAGTATGGAGCTCATGTATATAATTTGGATGTTTTTTGTCCTTAATTTTCGTTACCATTATGCATTTGTTCACCACTGCAAATATCGGTTATTCAAATCGTATTACTTGTTATTTAAGATGCTTGAATCACTGAAGGAACTAGCACCTGCTGATGTGAAAGAAATTGGTCATGCATTAATATGGAAACACGATATTATTCTTGCTCGAACGGGATGGAATTTTTTGGAACATCTCATCAAGTGAGGCTTTCAATATTTGTTTTTTGTTGTTGCCAAATTATGTAAATTAAATTGAAAATGCTCCAGTATTGCAGTTAAAATGGGTTTTGCATTAACTGAGCAGCGCTAAACATAAATATATAATGTCGTGAGTAAAGAATTTTTAGAAATTTTAGCACGGTACTGTTCAGTTCCAAATTATTTCTGCTCATAGGTTAAGCAGTAGGTCAGTAGCAGAACTCCAGTATTAGTTATCGTGAAGAAACTTTCAGATATAAATGGTTGGAACTAGATGTTAAGTCACGTATAGAACTACGAAATTGTTGTTTTGCTGCTATGAAGTCAAGAAGTATGGAGTGCAAAGAGTTGAGGTGTGGTGCAGCACGATGTATTGTTTTCATCATTCAACATGAATGGCCTCAAAATTGGCCAGAATTATTTGATCAACTTGATGATGTTAGTTATTGACTTTCAAGTAGTTTTTTCGGTTTTTTAATTCAGCCTAATTCATCGTACACAAAATTCCAGTTTTCATCACTCTCAGTAACGCATGCTCAGATCTCGTTCATCATACTGCAGCTATTAATTGAAAATGTAATTACGTTGGCGACAATTGAAAACGCTTCAAGAAAGAAAGATCTCAATAATGGAATATCTTCCAGTATGCCACGTATATTGAAAACCATTTCTTTCACACTGCAGCAGTGTTTACTTCGATCATCAGGTTTATCATTGCGCAAATCATAAGTTTTCGAAGACTATTTCTCAGATTTCTTTTACTGTTCAGTTTTTTCTGGGTAATTATGTGTTTTCTATAAAATTTAGCATTTTAAAACGATTTCCATAATAGGAACATACATTCATTTTTTGAGTTGATGTATTGAGAAATTAAAGAACTAAAAGTGTATAAATCACACAATTTATCTATCAGTCATACATTTTTTGCCTCAATTGTACTTCACTTGCATAATTTCTTTCAGATGAATTGTATTTGCTTGCCCGTTCTGCATTAGAATTATTTAGTGAAATTGCTGAGTGGGTAAAAGCCCAAATTTTGCAACCCCATATCGAAAATTTGATCTGCTCAATTTGTTCGTTTCTTGAAACTCCTCAGTATGGTATTTATGAAGTGGTTTGTTTTGATTTTATCAAAAATCAACCTTATTTTGAATTTTAATGAGCAGAAAAAGTGGAATAAATTTTCATTGACACTATTTTATTAGACAATTGATTAATATCATCGAAAGAAATTAGTTTTAGGCAGCAAAGTGTTTATGGATGTTAGCATCTCGTAAGCAAGTCAAAAATGAAGAAAATATTGTTGTTCTTGCGCTTTTTAGTGACATTCCAATGCGTGCTATTCTTGCAGCAGCAAAGTAAGCATGATATTTTACGCATGTTATTTTCTTTGTTGTATGCTTTACTTACTAACCACTAAAATAAGAATAGTTATTTCTTATTCACCATTATAATGAAACCATGTTCACAACACTAAATTTGATTTGCAGTGATTCAATGTTATATAATTAATTAAATTGCTAGACGTGTTTTGTACTACATTATCATTAAAAATTTGGAACACTCCTAATCATACCAAAGTTCGCAAAAGTTCAGGTGATTCTTAAGTTTTAGAAATGACAGAATTTACTCACAGGAATACTAAAGTTATCTTCCTTGAAAGCTTAATATTATCTCTTACTTTGAATTTTCACATCATATTTAGTGCAATTAAGAAAATTTTTCAGTCAGGCAGCAAGTGTTGGTGCTGATAATGTGCAGTATTATCGTTTTCTAAAAACTCTATGCAATGTTTTGTCGTCCTTAGGCATTCACCTAGCTGGTATCTGGATTCAAAGGCCACCTAATTTTGCAATGTACTTAGCTGCTATTGAAGCATTCTTTTTACATCCCTCACTTGTGAGTTATTTAGTTTATTTAATATTTTCATATCATTAGTTTACTTTTTAATTAGTGATTCACACCATATTGTTCTTTACTAATCACTGGAGCTTATTTTGCACTCATGTGTTTGCGAAATCAAAGTTTTTCACTTTAATCTAATTTCAGTTTTGAAATTCTCATGGTAATCAATAATTACTCCGAATGTTAAAATGTTTTTCATAAATTTATGTTATAGGTGTTACGAAACGAAGCAATTGCTGTTTTTTCCTCATTGATAAACCATGATAAGATTTTTGATGATGAAATATTGAGTGAATTCATTATTCGAATCATCGGTGCCACACCTTTACAACTGGAGAAAGTCGGTTATCCGTCTATGAGTGATTGTGAAGCATGTCGTTTCTCACAGCATGATTATGATAATGACGATGAATTTTCACACGATTTTTTAAGTAAAATTCAATTCTGTTTGATTTCGATCCCATATTAACGGTTTTACACACAGAATTGCTTTCCTTAAGAATTTTTCCCGCATAAAAAAAAAGAGATCATTTTTCAGAATTTCGCGATCGTTGTTTGAAAGTTATGCGGTCATGTTGTATTGCAAAATATAGTGGATTATTGATGAATGTAGTAGAGGACTGGTTTATCAACCGGTGTATTAGCAAAGCTGATTTAGGTTTGTTTATTGTTGAACAATTTTGATTGGCATTGAAATAGTAAAATTTTGTCCTGGAAAATAATGCTAGTTGTGTGTTTTGTCCTTATGTTCATAATATCTGTCCTTGACACATGCAATTCTTGTCAATTAAGAATATAAACAGCGCCAAGTAAGTGATTAATATTACAAGCGTAAAATATTTCTATATACCATTAAAGTTGCATTTAATACTATCAAGCAGCAGTGTGTTGCCTCATGTGTTTTGGGCTTTCTAAAAATTTTCTGAAAGACAGGACATCAGTATAAAGTTTGTTTATTTTCAGTGAGAGAAACTGAGTGGGTTGCAATGCAGCGTTTTTCAAGGATTGTTTTATCAGAATGTCACTATAGAAAATTGTTACAGCCAGTTAGTTTTTTGCTTTCTGAGTCATTTTTTTTTGGTCTGTAATTCTTTGCTTTTCAAATAATGTTTTTGGTCACTGATTTGGAAATATTTGCAGGATGATTATAAACGATTGAGCTCAGTTTTTGATGGTGTACTGTCATTGTTAGCAAATTGCTCATCTCCATCCCTTATGGACAGCCTGCTTTCTGTTCTTTCAACGCTGCTGATTGTTATTAGAGATTACCCACAACTACTTGTTCCTCTTCTTTGTCAGGTGATCTTTCATTATTGTTTGGTACATTTTTGTTCGTGCAAAAGATATTTAGTATTGAAACAATCAATTATTTCACTTAGTACCAATATTGGTCATTCAAAAAGGCGTGAAGTATTGAAAATAGTATCTGTAAAATCTTGTGAAATGTTCACTATTTTCAGTTACGCCGTCCATTAAGTGATACGAATGATGATGATGTGGATGGAAAATCTGTGAAGAGGCATTGTTTAGCTTTATTGCTTAGGATCGTTACTGCTTTTGCTGAAGACGTTAAGGTTATTTTGAATTAAATTTCTGTCCATGTCTCAGAATTTCAACAAATAATAAATGTTCGTCATTTATCGTCTACCTCTGAATTATAATACCTAGTTTTTGCAGGGACAAGCAGGGGTTATTTTGGACTTTTGTCTTTCAGTTCGTCCCAGTCTATCGTTAATGCAATTAGCTTCGTGCATGCAAGTAGTTGCAGCTTTAAGCAACCTTTGCTGTGATTTCACTACACAAAGCTCTTTACTTGCTGTTGCTTTATCAGATCCTCTTTCTTATATGCTCAAGGCAGAAGTTCAAGAGTAAGTTTGGACTATTACTGAGATGTTTAAAGTCTAAAATTGATATTAAAATTGATATTTTTTTATTTGGAGAGTGCTAACTTTTTTTGAACCAACTTCTTATGTTGATAGTCACCAATTACAGAGCCTGCGATAATGATACGGCGTTCCTTACTTTCTTTGGTTTCACTTCTCCAGCGCCAGGGAATCTTGATGAAGCCACAAACTCTCCTTATATGCTCAATCGTCGAGAAGTATTTGCTTTCAGCAACTTTTTTTTTTAAAAATGAAACATCAAAGAGCTAATTTTCTAATTCAGTTTTAGAATTAAAAAATTTAGTTACTAAAATCTAAAAAGTACATGGATATTAGTTTCAGTTTCGTGCACATTTATTCACTTTGGAAGGAATAATGGCTCAAACTCAGTCTGTCTGTCCTCCTTCTCATCCGGCATACAATGATTTTCAACCAATTTTGCCTACAATATTTCTGCTTGCAAAGTATGCCTTTATCAATATATAATATATAAATGTAGTAAGCTCACAAATATTTTCGTATTACTTCTGATGCCGTTTGTTTTTAGGCGTTTAACCTCGATGTATGATTCGAGAAATTTGGATGTTTTGCATGTTTCTTATCGTTCTCTGTCTATTTTTGATATTACTGCGAATGAGCGGCAACAACTACTGACATGTAATCTCATTACTTTCCTGTGCTTTGAGTAGTAAAATTCGAATATTTTCAAACTCTCAAATTTTCGCTTCTTTTTGAAAAATTCCTGCATTTCCATTCACTGATTGTTATCTGTTTTGTAAGATTGTTGTTTCCTATACTGTTTTTTTTACTTCATTTTGCAGAAAACAGTATTATTTGGAATCTTGAAGTCTTTATGTTTTTTTTTTTGCAGCGATTGATCCTTGTTCTTCGTCTACAGCTCGAATTCTTTTTGACGATCCTGGAACGCATGCCCGTGCATTTTTTTTCGATATCTCGGAGAAAATGCAAGTTTTCATTCGCTTGATTGATTGTTTTTATGTAAAAGAGTTCATATTTGTCCAAGTTCCTTCGATTTCTTTGTTTACAGTCAAACTTTGATTGGATTTTTTGCTACTAAGGCAACGATGCAGCTATTCTCGGACTTGAGTATCAGCAGTTGGATATCTTCTCTTTCATATGGCATCAGTTTTGTTCCAGATCATCGCTTACGGTTATGGCTGAGAAAGACATTGTTAGTTTTTGTAATTTATTTAGTACTATAATATTTATTATTGCGTACTTTTAATTATTAAGTACATTTATGAATCAAATTGTGTGATGAGAAATTTTGTATTTTAAGGAAACCATTTCTGTGCTCGTGTCCAGAAACGTCTTATAATGAAGTGAAACATTTGCTGCTGGCAGTAATTGTCGTCTTGAGCAGACGCTTACAACATGGGTGGACACAAGTCGAGATATCTGAAAGCTGTTAGTTTTGTTTTGATGTTGGAATATGCATACTTGTACCTAGTTTCGCTTCTAATCAGCATGTTGAGTTTTTTATTTGTTTAGTTTCTTCACTTTTTTATCATCAAATAATAAAGGATTGAAAGTTGCAGCAGAAAATGCGGAACCTTCTCAGGAAGAACTTTTAAATGAGCACGTGATTAGCATTTTAACACGTGAAAGTGTCACGTTTTTGCGAGAATTATTTAACATATCGGATTCAGGTAGGTTGCTTCTTTAATTGGGAATGAAAGTTGCCAAAAGTTATTGCTTGATATATCCATGATCTTATTTAACACAGTTTTGTTCTGAAAAAAGTAATTTGCAGGAGAAAAGATTGAAATACCATCTAGCATCAGAAATTGCTTCTTGAGAGACGAGGTTCGCTTCTGTTAATCACTAATCGTTGTTTTTCAGCTTTAAGTAATGTCTTTTTTCTGTGAGAATTCTTTTTTCGGTAATTAACACTACAAAGGCTGTGTCATGTGGGTATTTTCAAGTGTATGTTGGACTATTAATTCATATGTATTTTTTAATAGTCAGTAATTACTGACTAGTTCATTGTGAGCTAAATAAGTAAGTACTAATTACTAAAATATAGACTGTGAAATTCAGAAGTTTCCAAATTTATTTTGCAGAATATCATAGGAGAAATGGTTAGACTAATGTTTTTGCTTTTGACTTTTCGCGACACTTCTGCGGCGATCCGAGTAATACCTGTGTGCAGAAATGCTCTCGAATGCGTTCGTTTCATTACCATAATTTTTAACCGTTTATACCTGATAAATCTGAGCTGTTTTCATATTAAGATGATTAATAATACAAACTGTAAATAAATTGAACGTATTACATCTTATTTCTTAACGATTGATACGTTTTCAGCTGAATGAAAATTGTGATGAACAAACGGCCCTTTTCATCTTTGTTCGTAGCATTCAGAGCTTGCAGCTCCATGGTTCGGATGAGCAAGCACTCACCTATATCTTGTCACTAATTTTTTCCATTTATTCAACTTTGGTGAGTTAGTTGCATCCAACTCATGTTTTATAAATAGTTAATCAAATGGCTCTTGCACTGAACTTTATGCTTGCTATTTTCTTTTTAATCGAATATTAATCCAGCACGAGCGGTTCCCTAATTTGTCGCGAGTGTTACTTCAAGTACCAGATTGCTCTCCAGGCGATGTTGAAAGATTAAATCTTCGAATTGCATCTATGAAGCGCAACGGAGATTTTATGAATGACAAGATGAAAAGAGAAATTATTAAAAAGCTGCTCGGAACTGTTATTGCTGTAAGTCATTTTTAAGCACACATTTTGCAAAACATATCTTCTTTAAAATGATCGTCGGATACTATCACAGTTATTTTTCAATTTCATCGTTATTGCTCATTGTTTCCGAAATAACATTTCTAATATGAATGCATTAATTTTTAAGGAGCAGCTGTGACTCTATTAATGCCTTTGAAAAAGACATGTTTTTCATCTGCAGATTTGAGGCTGCCTTTCTTTTGAAATCCGCTGTGCTGCTTCATATGAAATGTATTTCAGACTTCAGTCGGTAAGCAGCACAGAAGACCAGTCCACTTCCGCCCTCTACCTCCTATAATAAAGCAAAATAAAGAACTTGTTCAAGAAGATTTCAATGTTTTGGAGCTTCTTTTTAATTCGTATTGAGATTGTTAAGCTCTTCACGTTTTCTTGAACTATCCAGTCGATTTTATGAAAGGATTTATAAACCTGGTTGTTGAGATTATTTGGACTAATTGCCGCAAGCTATTGTATTCATTTATGTTTATTAACTGTTATTTCGCATAATAATGGCAAACTATTTGTTGAAAGTCATTATTCTAATGTTGGCTTTATAATAAAATTACTTTATTAAGAATTTAGATTATTATAAAGTCAGCCTCTAAACATAAATTGAAATGGTTCTGGTTCACAAAAATTAACTTTGCTCAATTTAGGGTTTCGTTCGAATAAAATGACTTAATCACGTATTTTATACAACAAAAATGAAGCAGTGGAATGAATCCTACAACATACTAAAGCTTTTTAGTTGGGCTGTTGAGAACGGAATGTAAGTGTTGCTTACAACGTCTGACAGCTTTCTGAACAGTGACTTCAGGCTTCATGAATTCCAAGACAGCTGGCTTCGTTTTGTCATCATTAGAGTGCCATTTGTTTACTTCATCCATTAAGTACGACAAAAATTCCTGTAAGTCCTGAAGATAGCCAAAAGGAAACTCGTGCTCATGTTGCACGTCAGCAACGTAACTGCTCAATGACTTAGCAAGTTCATCAATTTGAGTCCAGTATTCGGATATTTCACTGATAATCATGTCAATCTCCATCTCGATTCGTGCACATACTTTTGACTGCCATTCAGCTGAACATGACATTAATGACGAATAACGAGGTATCTGAAAATTGAATGGCAAAACATTATTTCCGGAAAACTCAATGGAATTTAATTTTGAAAACAGATTCAAGATATTGATATCAATAATAGAATTTGCATGCCAATATTCTTTTCAAACTTTTTTATTATATCAGCGTAGTGAAGTCTTATAAGGACTTCTACCTCGAAAGTGTTCATAATTATTACTTCATTTACTATATACATATACTCTAAAATATACTATTTAAATGCTTAAATTATATTCCTAACCGGACACAATTCTATCCTTAAATAGTCATACACTCGATACTTAATACTAAGACTTTACAAGTCCACAAATATTAGGTAAGGCATAATCTTTACTAATCCTAGCAGAGATGTGCTATTATGTAACACATTTTAAAAATAAATTATATGAAAAATACTGCATTAGAGGTACTTTCTGGACAAATTCTATAATCATTCCATAACTAAATCTCCAACATGGCATGTTTCTGCCTTCAGAATCTTAAATTTCTTACAAAATAATTAGTTTAAAATTTAGATAACATTTTCAATATAGTATTATAAAAATTACCATTCGTACAGCTTCCAACTGCATGCAATAATTTCTGCATGTTTCGATATTACAGTTTATTTTGTGCATGTATTTTTCGATTTTGCATATTTCATCGAAATGTTTGGCGTCCACAGCAGACATATCTTACGTCAATTTACCAAATAACTACTTTGATCTAGAAGTAATGCCAAAAAAAGACTCTGAAACAAAATATTATCCACGAAAACTTTACTTAAGAAAAAGAACTTCGTCTAATATTTATTTCATTCAACCTTCGCTACGCATAATTTTATCAAATTTTAATATTAGATATAGCTTTTTGAATGCATCGGCGACTAAATAAAAATAGTAAGACTATGCAAAACGCGATATTCCTGCAGAAAATATTATACTAATGACCTACGAGTTAACTCTACCACAACCTAAGCCCCTTACACTTCATTCATACTATGCATACAGTGCAGTTATCACATCGCCCGATCCAAAAAATAATCACTTTTTGGGTAAATAGTGACGCGGGCAGTTTGAAATTTCATTTTCATAATTATGAAAACACACAACTTGTTATGGCTTTCTTTTATATTATATTCTGTTTATTAGTTATTCAAAAATTCGTGCTACTATCAATTTTTTGCAAACTTTTATGCTTTGCTGTTGTTAGCAAAAAATTTATCATACAGAACTTATTAGATTGTTACACATTATTTTCCAGTAAGAAAAAATAGTGTTGAAAATTTGACATATTTAATAATATGTATTAATATTTAATAATGATTGTTAATAATTAATAACATAATTTTATTTATTAGATGTTATATCGTTTTGTATTTTTGCTTTTGAATAAGAGTAGTTGATGATTGAAGTGAAAATTCATGCGATATTCTTCAGGTTCTCATTGTGAATTATTTGAATTCTGTGTCAGTTAACTGTTCTTGCATGCATGAAATAATGTTCGCATTGATGTCAGTCAGTAGTCAAAATATATTCTTAGTTTTCTGAACTTTTGATCAATACTTACTAGTGAACTGGATTGAAAAGGTCATGGGGTTGCTAGACTTTACTATAGTCTTAGAAATATTTTGCATTTGATGACAAAATCGACAACTTTTATCACTGATTATTGGGTTGTTTTTAGAATGTAAATGATTTTGCACATCTATAAAAAACCAAATTTGGTGTTCCTTTTTTTGAAATATTCTTTGGCTGTATTCATTTCGCACAGAAGGAGTCCTCTGAAATCCATCTATTTTGGTAATTAAAATTAATTGTTTTCAACATGTTTTATCAAACAGTTATATTCAGATTTAGAACCAAACGTCTGACGTAATTTACATTCACGTAATTTACAAGTGTAATGCAGGAAACTGTTTATTGTTCATTAATTGAAAAGTTGGGTAAACGAAAAAACGCTACGTCGTACAGAATGCGTTACAATGGGAAGTAGTAAGGATGTTTGTTTAGTATAAAAACAAATTTTCGATTTTTACACATCTATAAATACCTGTAAAAATTTCAGAAAATATCCGCAATCGTAGTAATTTGTGAAAATTATAGTTTGCTAACTGTGTTGGAATTGTTTCTTTTCAAAAAAATTTTTGCTGCTTGCAAAGATTTTATAATAGTTTTTTTTTGCTTTGTTTTTAGCATAATTTATGATTAATTTTGATTTTGATAAGTGAAAATATAAAAAGCAAATTTGTATTTGTAAAGCATTGCATAAGAATGCACACATCTATTTGACTACCTTTAATTCACTCTCAATGTTTTAGAATAATATTTCAGACTGAACTGTAATGCGATGAAAGTAAATGCTCACGTTTATTGTTTGCTGGAGAAATTCTCTGATTACAGGGATTAGTAATAGCCATTATGAATAGTAACGTATTATTATATCAAAGTTACATTATTCGTTTATATTAATATAGATAGGATATATATGATTGGTCAAATAATTGAACCATACTTGCAGTTGGAAATGATATGACCTTGTAGTAAAGAAATAGAAAAGATATTAAAGTCTCGAATTTTCACTCCTAATATGATGTTGATAGAAGGAATGAATGTGAGTGAAATTATGACATCCTTAGAATAACCGTTCTCGAGCGCAAATATTTCATTGCAGCATTTATAGATAGATAGTCATAAAAAATTTTAACACTCAGCAGAAATCCATACTTTTGCTTTTTACTTTTTGCAAATGTAGTGCCAAATTAGCACAGGATTAAGGTTTGGAGATGAAATTTGGATTTTGTACTTCGATATCACCAGTAGGTGCTAAACCTGGACATTCGTAAACCGAAAAATTATTGTCATCATCGGATGCATCACTTTCCTCATCAACATCTGGTATTGTTACTGTACCATCTTCACCAGAAATTATTTTTTGCTTGGTTTGTTGATAGTGGTGAAGTTGTGCCTGCAAAATATTCACTTTTGGTATTTGTGGTTCATTTATTTAAACAAAATATTTTGCTATTTAATTAACTATCATTCTGAAAAAAAAGTCTCAATATTTTTTCTTATATTTGGATTATATGTGTACTAGATAATTACTTTTTTCGAAACTTTAAATCAGTTTATGTTCATTTTTAAATACAAGCTGAAAGTGGATATAATTAAAAAAATAAATTAAAAATGGTATTGAGTATCAGCTAATAATTAAATAATTAATCTTTTCAACGAGAGCACTGACCAGAAATATGAACGGAAAGTATAAGCTACAGGATAATATGTAAATGTTATCATGCGCGGTAATATAGACATTTTTATTTACTAGTTTTGCGATAAGTTAAAGATTGCATTTTGGATGTGTAAATTAATAGTTTACTTTATATGCTAATCCTTCATCGCCACTTTTATTTTTCTTATTTTTTCCAGGACCTGTTGGTGCATACGTAAAATCACAATTATCAACAACAGTTTTTTGAATTCGAGTCCTGAAATTTTGCATTAATTAACATAATTATATTCAGATTCACTGCATTTTCAGGCAAAAATTTTGAACAGTTGAAGCAGGAATTGCTACTATAGAATGTATTATCCAAATGTATTCATTCAAAGTAATTATTCACAGAAATTGTTTTTACTTGTAAAAATAATAACTTCCAGCTGTAACACCCATGAATACTGCCACCATGCATACTGTTGCTGTTGCTGAAATACTACTCAGCTAGAAATTAACTAATTGATGATTAAGAAAGCAGATCAATATCTAAAAAAAATGCAAAGTTCGTTTCGTACTTAATAATATATTATTTGATCAAAATAAATGGAAAGTAATGGATTTCAATAAACAGATTATTATTAATCAGTCATACAAAGTTTGATTAAAACATTTGCATACTTTTCTTGAACAAAAAAGATAATTCAAATAGAACAATTATTGCAGTTGAAATTTATCTGTGAAACTTTGTTGTTTGATTGAAATCTTGTATATAATATAATGAAAATATAGTGTCAAGTTAAGTTGTAT